CACAACAGCAACAGTCCGTACAGTTTTCACTCCTTAAAAGAGTTCGAAACCCCAAAAAAGATCTGAATACAGTTTGGAGAATGATCTGATATGCTGAAGCAGAATTAGGGTTTTAATCAGTCCTTAAAAAAAATTCTCAGCCGCACATTCCAAGCAGTACCATACAGATAAGACTTGTAGTAGGGTTAATATGAAACCCTAAAATTGATCAATGCTGAAAAAAACTTAAGAAGAGCTTCATAGGTAGATCACAAGGCTCAGCCCAGCAGCAGGGTTTGCAGCAAGATTAGTAGGGTTTGCCGCAGGGTTAAGACCAAACCCTAGAGAATAGAAAGAAGAAAACCCTAGAATGGTTCGACTGCCCTTTCTAGATAGGTCCAACCTATCTTCTCTGATAGTACTTCTCTTAGAAAATAAAATAACTTACAAGAGAATGCTGTTCGCCGCCTTCCAAGGTTACCCGGACCCTAGTCTTCTCTGATTCTTCCTGATCACCAACACTTTGCAACCGTGGCAAGTCTTCAACAGCTGCTAAACTCTCTGGCGATCTCCAAGAATCAGTCAACGAACTCCACTTTCTCAGCTTCCACCCCTAGATGGTTCTCATGTGGTCGGTTGAACTAGACTCACATGAGAAACCCTAACCTTGCTTTGATACCATGTAGAAGTTCAAGACTGCTATCAGCCTTGAACCTTAATAGATTTCAGGTTCGAAAATAGAAGGAAAATGTAGAGAAGAGAAGAGGAAGAGAAGAGAGAACTGTAGAACACAAAGGGTTGAAAGGAGGGACAGAATCTGAACGTTCTACTGCCGCCACTTCTATTTAGTATTTATAGGTTATGCTCATTACATGGAAAGGACAGATCTGCCCTTAGTATTTACATAACAAATAGAACAAAAWWAAAMYKAAAWWAAWWAMMAMYKRAAWWAMCGACTGACCACCAGCTAACCCTAGGATGACTAGAACACATTCTACCCTACGAACACAGTGGGACCATACCTGTGGGGCCCACATCAGTGTTCTCTACACTTGGTTCCCTCATGAAACACCGGATTAGAAGAAATATGAATTGCAGCTTGATGATCACAATAGAGCTTCATTGGAGTGTCAACAATGTATCCCATCTCCTATAGAAGGTTCCTCAGCCACACTAATTCACAAGTAGTATGTGCCATAGCTCTATATTCTGCCTCTACACTGCTTCTTGCCACAACTGTTTGATTCTTACTTTTCCATGTCACAAGATTATTCCCAAGAAAAGTGCAATAGCCTGTGGTAGATCTTTTATCAGACATAGAACCGGCCTAATCAACATCAGTATATCCTTCTATTTCAAGTTTTCCACCACTTCTGTATATCAAACCACAACCAGGAGCCCTCTTTAAATACCTCACAATCCTTAGAACAGCATCCCAATGTGGAACCAGAGGTTTCTGCATGAACTGATTTACCACACTAACCGCAAATGAAATGTATGGCCGAGTAATGGTTGGTAGTTTAGTTTACCTACAATTCGTCGGTATCTGCTAGGGTCTTCAAACACTTCACCCATATCACTGCTCAATTTCGTGTTTGTTTCCATAGGTGTTTCAGCTGGTTTAACACCTAACAAACCTATTTCTTCCAGCAAATCAAAGACATATTTCCTTTGACACAAGTTAATACCATGCTTAGGCCTTGCTACTTCTATCCCCAAGAAATATTTCAATTTACCAAGGTCCTTTGTCTGAAAATGTTCCCGCAGAAAAGTCTTCAACCTAGCAATGCCCATTTTATCATTTCCGGTAATAACAATATCATCTACATACATCACCAATAGGATCTTTCCTGCCTGAGAGTCATAACTGAAGATTGAATAGTCAACTTGGCACTGTTTCATGCCAAACTTCTTTACCACCTCACTGAACCTACCAAACCATGCTGGAGGAGATTGTTGAAGCCCATAAATGGCCTTCTTTAGTCTGCACACCTTACCGTCCTCCCCTTGAGCAACAAACCTCGGTGGTTGCTCCATATAGACCTCGAGCAGATCACCATGCAAGAAAGCATTCTTGATATCAAACTGATAGAGGGGCCAATCATACATAGCAGCAAGAGAGATCACAACACGAACTGAACCAATCTTATCAACCGAGGAGAAGGTTTCTGTGTAGTCAATACCATAGGTTTGGGAGTACCCTTTGGCAACCAGTCTAGCTTTCAGCCGCTCTACACTACCATTAGTAAGTACTTAACAGTATAAACCCACTTACAACCGACAACCTGCTTACCAGGAGGAAGAGTGGTGAGGTTCCATGTATGATTATGAGTTAGAGCTGAGAGTTCTTCCATTGCGTGGCGCCATCCTAGAGAGGCAAGGGCTTCTTGGACATCCTTAGGGACAACAACAGAGGACAACAAGGAGATAAACTGGCGATGAGAAGCAGAAAGGTGAGTGAGAGAAACATAATTAGAAATAGGATGAAGGGTACAACTGCGTTTACCTTTTCGTAAAGCAATGGGAAGATCAAGGTCAGATACTAGGGGTGGGGCTGGTGTGGGGAGAACTACCGGATCTTTCGACGATGATGGAGCTGGAGGAGGAGCCGGTACATGTGGGCGATGTGTATACACTTGACGGATAGGTGGCCATTCAATAGGTGGTGGCACCGGAGGCAAGGACTTGGTCACAGTTGGAACAAGAGGAACAAAATCTGCAACAGGAAGAGGAAGGGAAGGAGGTGATGAGGAGGAAGAAACATCACCGGACCCTAAGAAAAATGGAGTAGATTCAAAGAAGGTAACATCAACACACACAAAGGAACGTCAAGAGTTAGGATGATAACACTTATACCCTATCTGAGTTCGAGAATAGCCAAGGAAGATGCACTTAATGGATCGTGCATCTAACTTGTCCCTTCTTGGCCCCAGATTGTGGACGAAGCAGACACACCCAAAAACTCGAAGAGAAAGAGGAAACGAAGGCAAGGTAGGAAACAAAGTGATGAATGGAGAATGACCATCAAGAATAGACGTGGGCATCCGGTTAATCAAGAAGCAAGAAGTAAGCACCGCATCACTCCAAAAGGGTTTGAGGACATTCATGTGATGCATGAGAGATCGAGTTGTTTCCAAAAGATGATGATTCTTTCTCTCAGCTACCCCATTTTGTTGTGGGGTGTAGGTACATGAAGTCTGATGGATAATGCCATGTTGGTCCAAGTATTCTTGAAATGATGAAGAGAAATATTCACGACCATTATTGGAACGAAAAATTTTAATGTGAACACCAAATTGGTTGCGAATCTTAGCATAAAATTTTTGGAAAATGGTAAACAATTCACTCCTTTCTTTTATTAAATAGAGCCATGCCATCCTTGAATAATCATCAACAAAAATGACAAAATATTTATATCCATTGTATGACATTACTTTATAAGGACCCCAAACATCTAAATGAACCAGAGAAAAAGGACTCGACATACGGTTATCAACCCTAGGACTAAAGGGAACACGATGATGTTTCCCCAACTGGCACGACTCACAATCCAAAACAGAAAGATGACTCAACGAAGGAACCAAAGACTTCAAAACTTTCAGCGAAGGATGACCTTAATCGACAGTGCCACTGGAGAGGAGAGAGAGATGACTGGAGAGCTGTTGACGTTCTTCCACCACCATCAAGATAATACAATCCACCATCTTCATGCCCTCCACCAATCTTCATCCCCGTCTTGAGATCTTGAAAAACACATGAAGAAGGGTAAAAAGTAATAGAGCAATTAAGAGACTTGGTCAACTTACTAACTGACATAAGGTTAAACAGAAATTTAGGGACATACAAAACTGAGGATAAAGGTAAGGGGGTCATGTTAACATTGCCAACACCACAAAAGGAGGATGGCGAAGAAACCAAGAGAAAACCCTAGACTGGGTGCACAAAGAACAAAATTCTGGGCAGGTCTGATTTGCTCAGTTCAGCTCTGATACCATATTAGGATTCGGTCTGCCCTTGAATCCTGTTAGGCTGATAACAACCAAGAAGAAGGAAGAGAAAGAGAGGGAGAGAAAGGAGAAGAAGAGAGGAGAAGAAAGGGAGAGAAAGGTCTAGTTCGAATGAGAGAAAAATACCTCTTCCATTCGGCCAGATTTGATTTATATTACTTATACTGTGGAAAAGACACATGTGCCCCTACTTAAGTGAGGGACACTAGATCTAACATAATCTTACACATCAGCAACATAAACATAAGATAAAGACAGAAATACCCCTACATACTCGACACTAACACTTACAAATAAAAGAAACAAGAATATGTATAGAGCTGATCTAGTACAGCATATATATATTACAAGAATACTCCCAATGGTAATAAAAGGACAAAATTATCCCTTAGCTCCTCTACAGTTTTAACATTGGTTGTTGTGCCCTCATACATATGGTGAAAGGTGCTGAAATAAAGATCTGTGAAAGAATGGAATATTTCTTGAAGAAGAAGAGAAGAAAGGAGAAAAGGAAGAGAAGAAATTTGAGAGAGAAAAGAGAGCAATAATGCTGGCCGCCCTCTTCATTATTATTTATAGTCTAAACTAATAAAGAGTGCAAAGACCAATATGCCCTTATAGGGCGGCTAACACATAAAACAACATGGAGGAACAATGCTATAGGGCACTGGAGGAACAAATAATACATGGATTTCTCAGCTTCTATATACACACACACACAAAACAAAACTATTATGGATAGGAATGCCTGTTACTTAGGTGGTTGGTGGCTAGAATTTTATCCTGAAATAGTAGCCACAGGAGAGTTTCAACTGTGGAAGGAATTGATTACAAAGTTCAATGCAGGTATACATTGGTGCACATTCACTTGCTGGTACAATTTCCGGATCTAATCACTTGCAATTGGTACTCTCTCTATCCTGGTACTTTTTTTGCCATTTGGATCTCCTTCCATGTATATTCTTTGGGTGGTCATGTGCTTCTTATTGTTGTCAAAATATTTTTTTGGGTATAAAATGACAGGGTTTACAACTAACATTGTTTATGGAGCATGTTGGTCTTTGGACTATTACAGTGGAAATCATTCGTTGGATGAATGAAGTTTTTTTTTTTTTTTTTTTGCAGGAAGATTGTCTAGCTTCTTCTCAGTTCTATTTCAGGTTATCGGCAACCATTGCATTTACGAATTACATGGTACCTTGACTGCTATAGCCTGAAACTGTTTCAGGAATTGCTTTAAGTATTGCTCTGTATCATACATGTTATATAAGTATATTGTGGTATGAAATGACATAAATGGCATAATGCTAGGATTTTGTTAATTTATATTGAGATGTAACAGATTTGATCTACAGTCCATTGAGATGTTATGTCAGATTTCAAGCCTAAGCCTTGTTTCACACTTTTCTCTTTTTCCCTCACCTAGATTCTATACCATTAATTCTAAACCTGATGATCAGCATATGGAATCAGCTACATGAGTCCTGTTTAGTGCCATATCCATTTTCCATCTTAGTTTTTCCTTTCCATTTCCAAACATAATTAGGTCAAAATCCTCATTTTTTTTTTTGCAATTTCCTAACATGTCACATAACACCTGTTGAGACATTGAAGATTGTGACCCTTTGACTGGATTATTTGACTACACTAATTAAACTTTAGTCTTTGAATTCCTAGTGACTTACATAATATCACCCATATAACCATAAATAAATCTTTTGTTACATAATTTAAGTATGTTAATCTAAACTCAGCTGCAGAAAATTATGGTGCACCAGTCTTCCTTAATTGGAAGGAACTATGCACTTGTCACAAGCACTATATTCTTGCCATGGGATACTTGTATATGAGCAACTGTAGAAGGTGTTTGAACTGATCATATTGTCTGGTATTGCAAAAGCAGACCTATCAGACACAGTAGGATGCTTTGGAGGACCAACAGAAATCCTCCGGAGATGAGCAAACACTTCCTCTAGAGAGGGAAGGGTAGATACACCTAGTATCTGTGCTCTCACCGGTTCATATTCAGCCTTCAACCTTACTAGAAATCTAGTTTACATCAAGTTGTTCTGTCTGTTGTTGCTGAATTTTGACATCAGATGTAAGGGGATGAGAAACATTTAATTCATTCCGAAGATTCCTCATTCTAGCAGCTAGCATAATACTCCTCAAGACTTTGATTACCTTGTAAGGGGGAATATAATGCTAGATTTATGTTCACTGCTGTCTCCCATTGCTGCCATAAAAAACTCCACTCACTAGTACTTCACCACCTCACTTGCTAGCCACCACACTGCACATATGTTTTCAGCCCTAACTGTCACTGCAGTTCTGCTCTTTCAGCACCATAAAAGACACCCAAATGCACACATACCACTAGGTCTGCAACTGATCACTACTTATTTCACACTGTATCACCCATATAACCTATTTATTTAAACTTCACAAATCAGTCCTGCACTAATCTGTTCACCACACCACCTGAAACAGTCCTCTTTGATCCATTGATTAGAGTGTTTCTACAGACCACATGAAATAAACACTACACAACCAACTGGAGGCATGAAAACATCCAAAAAGGAAAAACAACAACTCCTTTTCAGCCTTTCTGTGAAACTCCAAGGGATTGATGAGATCTCTGCAGAGATTTAGGGCAAAGGGTGAACCAAAAAATTCTGGGTTGACCTGAACTGTATATAGTGGCTCTGATACCATGTTACAGAACTGATCTGTACTGGTTTCAGCCCTAGATTAGCAGAGAATAATAGCGGAAGAGAGAGAGAGAGAAGGGAGAGGGAAGAGAGAAAGAAGAGAAGGAGAGAAAAAGTGGTTTGAACTAGAGAAGATGTCTTTCTCTAGTCGGCCAGATATTATTTATATATTTCTGATTAAAGACGCAAAGACACTTTTGCCCCTAATTAAGTATGGGACATAGTACTTAAACCAAAACATAAAAGACATTACACCACACTATTAATATAAACTGAAATGACCAAAAATGTTTTAAAATGCAGAGGCGTGATGCGAGGCGTTCCACTACTTAGAGGCGTGAGGCGTAAGCCTCCTTAAGAGGAGGGGGGTTAGGAGGAGGAAGGGGGGATCTCATTTTTTCTTTATTTTTAATAAAAATCTTTTATATTAAGAAGAATAAAGATGCATAACATTAGTTGAAAGGGGGGGGGCGGGGGTTTGGGGGGCGAAGCCCCCCAGCCGAAGGGGCAGGGGGTAAACCACTTTCTTTCCTCTTATCTTTTCTTCTCTTCCCTTTCCTTTTCTTTCCTTTTCTCTTTTTTTCTTCTCTTTCTTTTTCTTTCCCTTCCCTTTCTTTTCTTTTCCTTTCCTTTCCTTTCCTTTTTTTTTTTTCCTTTTTTTTGTCTTTTTATATAAGATGTGCATGAGGCGCACGCCTCTAGCACGTCTCATGAAAAAAACGCATGAGGCGTACGCCTCAGAGGTGTCAGCGCTTCTGGCATACACCTCAGGGCGTTTTGGTAGCACCTCGCCTGGAGGCTGCCTCCAGGCGTACGCCTCCCACGCCTTTTAAAACACTACAGGCAAACTACCCCTGTATAGCCGACTCTAACAACTCTATCTGGTTGTGCATGAATTTTGCTGTTACCAAATGATGTTTGCTATGGTATTTATGTCAAGAACCCAATATGATGTTTAGGCACATGCCTGTTACGATAAGTGGTGCATAAGGTACTCTGACATTTTGAGTCTTATGTTGCCCTGTCTTCTCCTATCATGTCTTCGCTCCCTTCTTGCCCATGCTTATGTAAGGAAGAGACATTTGTGTCACATTGCAAGATAGAAATGTGACTCCTTCTTTCCATTGTCTTTTCATGTTCAATTTATTTAATGTGCAGTATCTATTTTATGTGTAGTGCATCAAAATTTTCCATCTTTCATTGACAGAATGATGCTTCCAGTCATTTGAGTTTTTCAGTGCAAGATTATGCTAACATCAATGCTCTTTGGGCCTCACTGATAATTGAAGAATGTACACGGCTTGGTTTAACTGTAAGTCTAGTTCTGATAATAAAAAAGTCCAGCAAATACTTTTATCATCAGATCATAAAACACTTTTAGCTATTCTGGTATTTATTTCTAATTCTTTCTTTATTCAGTACTTCTGTATAGCCCCAGGATCAAGATCATCTCCTCTTGCAGTTGCTGCTTCCAGTCATCCCCTTACAACATGTATTTCATGTTTTGATGAACGTGCCCTTGCATTTCATGCTGTTGGATTTGCAAAGTCATCTTACAAACCTGCTGCTGTCATAACTTCATCCGGCACTGCTGTCTCCAATCTTCTTCCAGCAGTGAGATTATTCTCTCTTGTGTTCTTTTTATTTGAATGTTCTTCTATGGATATAAATGTTTCATTTTTCATCATCCTGTCGGTGTTACTAGTTGCCATAGGAAGATAATTTCTTTTTCATATTATTTGACAACTAATTAGAATTGGTATTTTTTCTTTGTTCTTGCTTATGTTATCTGCATTTTGAGTCATGTTGTGATTTGTGATGCATCACATCGGCATGTATCTCCCTTAAAACCATGTTATGTCATGATTCAAAGCAATTTAGGGCTTCTGTCTTTTGTATGGTAAGATTATGAGCTCTCCAGTATTGGTATCAGCAGAAGTAGGTAATCTACACTAGAGGGTTTCTCTACTGGGGAATTTGGATGTCTGTGTAGAAGAGGTGGTGATTTGGTGCACTAAAGTCCTATGGGTGGAGCAGGGGAAGATGGATCTGGGGGTGTTTTTAGGTGCATTGTCTATTGCCTTGGCCCAGGTTAAGCAGAAGCAGTCTCTGGGAGGGTTATGTGACAGAAAACTCTGTCTATTCCATAGTTGTCAAGGTGCCTAGGCAATTCTAGGTGACAATCAAATGCTTAGTACCTAGTTGTGTAGGTAGGTACCTAGGTATCACCTAGGTAATAGAATTTTACAAAGAAAATAACTAAATTCTATGCTAATTTCCTAAAGTAGAAAGTGCAAAAGATCTGATCTGATTTGAAATCTGTGATAAAAGGAAGAAAGAGAAAAGATTGTGCAGAGAAGAGAAGAGAGGGGTTGAAGAGAATGGTGAGAAGCCAAAAAAATCTGATCTGGCCGCCCCTTTCATTATCTTATATACTCATAAATAAAATTGAATACAATGACAAGTATACCCTTAGTAAGTTGGCTACTACTAGAAACACAAGTGAACACTCTTAACTAAACATAAACTAATGGGCCTTGGGCCCAATAACTCTCTAACTAAACTTTATAAATAAAACAAATGTTATCAGCCCAATCTCAACACCTAACTATTCTTAACTTTTTTTTTTAATCCCCAAAATTTACTCCAGGTGGAGGGGTGGCCACCATAAAATTTTATTAATGATTCCAAAAAAATAATAGCCTAGGAGGGGGGATGTAAAAGCCTTACCCCTCGAGAAAAGCTATATACAAAGAGATCATCATCAAAACTATAAACAGTAATTATAAAAGGATCCAAATGATCTCTATAGAAAACTAACAAAAAATTAACTAAAACGCAAAACAGGAATGCCAAGACCATCATTCTTCAAAAGATTCTGAGTTTCACGTGGGAGGTCAGCCAAGGAGTTATATATTAAGTTGTTGAGGGAGCCACATCCTAACTTTGAAAGGCTATCCACAACTTCTCTGTAGATATGAATGAAGTGCAAGTCCATAACCGCCTGAAAGTTCTTGATAAGATCCAACAGTAGAAAACCTTATGTGCTGATTTCGGCCAAGCTTCTTGTGAAAGGAAGAGTAGAAAGTTGGGGATTTCAGCAAGAGACAAAGGAAAGGGAAGAAAAGAGAAGAAGGTC